GACAACGGAGAATCATACATCCAAAAGGTGAATCAGCCTCAGATAATGATACAACAACAGAACGTACACCTTTTTTAGGAACTACAGAAATAGATACAGTCACCCGGAGTTGACTCAAAGGCGGAGAAGGCGCAGGACAAGAAGAGGACGTAAGAGGAAAAGTAACCATACGGAATAAGCCACCACACAGGAAATAATTCCAATCTTCAATTTATATCTGAGGTCTCTCAGCCATCGAGAGAGACATTTTCAGCAAAGGATTATCATTTATGTCAACAGCCATTCCAAACCAATTAGATGGAATATTGAACTATTCAAATTTGGAACAGGCATGCGGCTCAAAGAATTTTTCGACAAACCTGGATCCCAAAAAAACACCATCACCACTAAAAAGCAAAGAAAAGTTCTAATTAAAATCAACGTTTGACCCTCAGTCCAACAAAGCATCCATTAAAACCTTTTTGTCTACTACCCACCATGATGCAAAGGCAGCTATAGTCCATCATAGGAAATTACAATATAACGTTTCTAAACAGAGGGAAATCATCAGAGACTTAGTGAATGACACGTCAATTACAATTCAATCGGCGAACAAAGGAGGGGGTATTGTAATTATGGATTACACCTATTATGCTGGAGAATTAAAAGCACAACTGGCGGATAAACATATGTACAGTCCCCTACAACAAGATCCCTATGGATATTCAAAACAAAATAGAAGACGTGTTTAGTATGGGACTACGCGCAGGGTACATTGATTTAAAGCTGTACCAATACCTCACGAAAAGCCATCCGCGCGCACCTACCGCACCATAGTAACTTTAACCATGCACTTCAAAAAGCAAGAAATGCGTGCACAAGTGAGGTGTCTAGCCCCACGAGATTGATAAAATTCCAATCTACTCCATCGATCACCTCTACTATCAAGAAAAATTGGAAAATGATTGCTAGCGATGATACACTCCCCAAAGTATTCAAGGAACCTCCTCTAATTTGTTATAGAAATAAGAACCTGAAGGACTTATTAGTACATACCGTCCCTGTTAGAAGTTATTCTCATGATACAGCAGTCCAAAATCGAGGATCAGTTCGGTGCTTGGGTTGTGTAACATCTCTCTTTTTTAACCACCCCCACACTAATAAGAAATACCAAATATGATATACCATTATGCGCAAGACTTCTTTTGTTATCTATAAGTTGTCATTCCCCTGTGGATTGGTGTATATAGGGAAAATGGAAACTGCGCTCTGTGAGCGCATTAGAGGACATCGGTCCAGTATCAGATTGGTAAATAGGGATTCAACATCAGATAAACCGGTGGCAAAGCACTTTTTGGAATATAAGCACCCACTGTCAGCCCTGAAATTTATAGGGATAGACCACATCCCGAATCCAAAGAGAGGCAGAGACCGAGGCAGGATGCTTTTACAAAAGGAGGCTTACCGGATACATAAATTGGATACGGTGTCTCCAAAGGTCGTCAATGAGACATTACCTTTACATGCTTTTTTTATAGTTTTTCTATAACTTTTTTTGTAGCTTTTTTAAGTGGCTTTTTTGAAATTATTTTGACCCTATTTTGTAGCTTTAGATAGCTTGTAGCTTTATTAATTTTATACTTGCATTTTTTTGTTTTACTTTTGCTCATAATTATTTTGATTTGTCTACAATATTATTAAGATTCTCCAGGCCATAACACTGTACCATGGTCAGTCTTCCGTGATATAAATGTTCAGCCAGTAGAGGAATCTTTAATTTCTCGTGTGCAGCAAATCACATCCAGGCTAGACATATTGTAGCCAAATATTTAGATTGGTTTATACAAAAAGTAACATTGATGTAAAGCTTCTTCATTTTTCTAGCACTAAGAGGATCACGTACTTAAACTAAGCTGCCTGATTCTTTGTATCAAATCTCTTATTTTAGTTTAATATCAGTGTAGGAGATATGAAATGTATGTATAGATCATACTGTGATGTTTTCTTCGTGTGCAGCAATCATATCCGGGCTAGACATACTGTAGCCAAAGATGTAGATTGGTTTATACAAAAAATATCATTGAAGTAAAGTATCTTCATCTTTCTAGCACTAACTGGATCATATATTTAAACTGAGCTGCCTGATTCTTTGTAGCAAATCTCTTATTTTAATTTAATATTAGTGTAGGAGAAAGGCAATGTATTCATATGTTGTTTTGTGATTTTTTTTGATTTTTAAAAAAAAAATTTTTTTTCACATAGCACTTTACTTATAAGCATTTTTTTTAAAGCACCATAAGCACTTTATACATTTTGCACCTCGACACTTTGTAATCAAGTATATCACATTAACTTAAGTCTTGGTGCAGGAAGGAGGGTTTTTGGTTTTTAGAGCATTGGGACAACTTTGCGATTGGGTACAACCTTTATAGAAGTGATGTATTGCACCTAAATGGGAGAGGGTCTGCAGTGCTGGGGGATAGGATGGCTAGAAGGTTGGAGGAGATTTTTAAACTAGTAGTCGGGGGGGGGGAGGGTCATAGCAATCTACAAAATGGAGATAGGACAGAAAGGAGATGGGCTTTAGCACAGTATAAGGTGGGTGGAGACGGGGGGAGGGGCAAGCTCAGAACAGAGAAGCTATGTAATGTTGATAATTCACAAAAAGTACATATTAAATGTATGCTTACTAATGCAAGGAGCCTAAATAACAAAATGGGGGAACTAGAGGCATTAGCATACACTAAACAATATGATATAATAGGCATAACTGAAACATGGTGGGATGAGACACATAACTGGGCAGTTAACGTAAATGGGTACATGTTATTTATGAAGGATAGGAAAAACAAGAAGGGTGGTGGGGTATGTTTGTATGTCAACCATGATTTAAAGCCAAATCTTAAGCAAGTGGAATGCGATGAGGAAAATGTGGAAGCTTTATGGGTAAATATCTGCTTGGGGGAAAAGAAGGGAAAACAATTATTGGTTGGGATATGTTATAAACCACCTAATGTTAATATAGACGAGGAACAACAGCTGTTTGAGCAAATTGAGAAAGCTGCAAATCTGGGTAACACTTTAATTATTGGAGATTTTAATTACCTGGACATAAATTGGGACAGAGGGACTAGTAGCTCAGCAAAGGGAATTAGGTTTTTAAACTTGTTAAATGACACCTTCATTTCACAACTTGTACAAGCACCAACTAGAATGAACGCTTGTTTGGACCTGATTAACAACGTTGATCTTTTGACCAACATTCAAGTAGGTGATCCCTTATGAAAAAGTGATCACAAAAATCTTATTACAAGATTGCTTTTCCCATTTTTTTTTTCTTTTTTAAATGTTTCGCTAACCATTACCCCAATGTAAATTCATCTCAAAGGGTGATCTAGTGATTGAGCGGACTACGGGTAACCCGACTAGGTTACCTCCGCTAATTTCTTCTCAGCCACTCTGGAACCATCCATTTCCCCAGTAGCCAGACGAAATGTAGTTCTGGGATTTAATTGATGACTCAGATCGGTTCAGGGAAACTGGAATGCCACCATGGTAAAGTTTTGACCAACCGGACACTAGGCGCTAGCCCAAAACAATTCCAGGGAAATAGGTGTCCTAGCTGGTCTCTGTTTGGGGGTTCTTGTGCAAACATCATGCAAGGGAATCTCTTAGTTTAAGGATACAAATGCTCCCCCTGTTTGGTAGTACATATCTCCTGAACGTCGTTCGCATAGGTGGATGGGAAGTAGGGCAGCGGTCTAATCTTGACTGGGGTTCGTGTGAGTGCTTAGCCGAAAAGAGTTCCCGTCACTCAACGACTTAAATGACTTCCCTTGCAATTTTGCACTTATGTTGTTGGTGTGAACATTCTAATGGGGTACAGGGTTGGTCCTTGTTCAGGAGACGAATGAATGGCGTTCATATAGAATAACTTCCTAACGGAAAAAGGGAAAAACACACAAACAGGGGCAAAGTATACGAAATTGGCGCTAGGTTCTGCCACAAGTAGTACATTTAGCCAAGACAGAGGTTCAGCTATATTTCTTGTTGTAAAATCCTATCTTAATACAAATTAGCTGATAAATCGGGTTATAGGGATACTATATATCACATTCCTAAAGCCCTAAACAAAGTATGATAATATGATAGTATAATATGACAGGTCTAGACAATATATATAACTAACAATGAGTAATAATTAATAACCAATTATTAATTTAATGAAACCTTGTACAATACCCAAGCTGAAAATAAACCTGTTCATGTCCGAGTCCATTCTGGTGTTATCCTAGTAATTCTAGCTGGGGGGTAACGAGATATTCCAATTTTGCAATTTCTGCAAAGCTTCTGCAGATATAGAAATCGAATGGGTCACTCCCTTCTTACGAATAAGTAATTTTGACGGGTGTCCCCATAGGTATGCCAAATCATGGGTGGGTAGTGGTGGATAAAGAAAGAGACTTGGCCCACCTTATGCATACGTTTAAATGTACATGAATTGTACTAGATGAAACGTTTGCTCTTTTTTTAATTTATTTTTTATCTATTGTCTAGGGGTATTGACGATTATTATTGCCATTTATATAGCGCCAACAGATTCCGTAGCACTTGACAATATTATGAGCGGGAGGATTTAACTATAAATAGGACAATTACAAGAAAACGTACGGGAACTATAGGTTGAAGAGGATCCTGCTCAAACGAGCTTACAGTCTATAGGAGGTTGGGTATAAACACATTAGGACAGGAAATCGCAATCAAATAAGGTAGGAGTGAAGCAGAGCTGGAGGAGAGCATAGAGTGCTACCCTTTAGGAGAGAGCAAGGGACAGATATGTGAGGTATAGGTTACTCTGGGAGGCCATAAGCTTTCCTAAAGAGATGGGTTTTAAGGCAATTCTTAAATGATTTAAGACTAGGGGAGAGCTTGATGGCGGTAGGCAGGCTATTTCATAGGAAGGGAGCCACCCGCAAAAAGTCCTGCAAGCGTGAGTTGGGCGTACGGGTGCGAGCAGAGGACAGGAGATGGTCACGGGCAGAGCAGAGAGACCGAGAAGGGACATACCTATGGATCTGTGAAGAGATATAAGGGGCTAGAATTGTTCAATCCTTTATAGGTATGGGTTAACAATGTAAAGACTGACAGAGGGGTGAGGTGTGAGAGGACTGACTAGAGAGGAAAAATCAGTCTAGTGGCAGCATTCATTACAGACTGAAGCGGGGCAATACGGCTTTTGGGAAGACCAATTAGGAGAGGGTTACAATAATCCATGCGGGAAATTACTAGAGCATGGACAAGCTCCTTGGTAGCATCTTGCGTAAGAAAGGGTCAGAAGAGTGCTATGTTTTTAAGATGGAATCTACAGGATTTGGCAACATACTGGATGTGAGGCTCAAAGGTGAGGCCAGAATCAAGTATGATGCCAAGACAGTGTGCTTGCAAGGATGAACTTATGTGGATACCACTAATTTGAAGAGAGAGCAAAAGAGGAGGATCAGTATTGGGAGGAGGAAAGACAAGGAGTTCAGTTTTGGAGAGATTGAGTTTTAGAAAGTGGCAGGACATCCAGTCAGAGATAGAAGAAAGGCAAGCAGTGACACGTTGCAGGATGGCAGGGGAGCGGTCCAGGAAGGAGAGATCTATATCTGAGTGTCAGCATCGTACAGGTGGTAATGTAATCCAAAAGAGGTAATAAGTTTGCCAAGAGAGGCAGTATAAAGAGAAAATAGAAGGGGACCAAGGACAGCTCCTTGGGGGACATCAACCGAGACAGAACAATGGGAGGAGGTATCTTTAGAAAAGGAGACGCTGAATGAGCGTTGGGAGAGATGAGAGGACAGAGACCACGTGACTGAAGAGTTTAAAGAAGGAGAGCATGATCAACGGTGTCAAAGGCAGCAGAGAGGTCAAGAAGAATTAGTATAGAGTAGTGCCCTTTGGATTTAGCTGCGATTTAGGTCATTTGTAACTTTGATAAGAGCAGTCTCAGTAGAGTTGAGAGGGCGGAAACCAGATTGAAGAGGGTCAAGGAGAGAGTTGGAATTGAGGAAGTGAGACATACAGGTAAAGACAAGTCTTTCCAGAAACTACTCTCATGTTATGTTACTTTTTTTTTAGAGGTTCTTCACCACACTTAGGCATTATATACTGTGAATTGTTGTCCATAATCTTAACGGGTATACTCGATTCTCTTAATTTGTACATCTGGTTATAGATATCTATATATCTCATAGGTCACAGTCAGGCTCTTCCCTTACACCAGGGGTGGGGAACCTTCGGCACTCCAGATGTTTTGGACTACATCTCCCTTAATGCTTTTACAGCCATAATGCATAACCTCGCCGTACACTCAGGATATGCTAACCATCTATTATTTATGGGAGTTACATTTTTCTTTTCACTTCTTCTGCTTCACGTTCCATAGTTAATTGGCTGACTTACTTATGAAGGCATCTACTTTCCCAAGTTCTGTCTTTGAGACTATCTGGTCTACCAAAGTACGTACCTACGTTACACATTACGTTTGCTTATGTTGTGAGTCAAGCCCCTGTCTAGGGACAGAGAACTAGCAGTTACTTGGCTTAACTTATGGACCAACGAGGCCAACTCGCCGTCTCAACATGGAAGCTTTATCGTCCAATCTGCCTATGTCATAGTTATAGCCTTGCAAACCCTACTATGGGGTCATATTCAGGGCCTTACTTGTCACGGCCACAAGTGTTTGAATCTTTTAGTGTCGTGGTTTACATACTGTTATGTCTGTCTTATATTAGCCCATCCATTATGTACCGGGCTTATCTTTTGGCATCATACAGCTTTATCCTTCACTGGGGTTCAAGTATAACCCCCACATTTACATAATCTTACATCCCTTTATTAATGAGTTGACGTAGGGCTTGTCACTATACACTTGACCCACGCATGGTCCACCATACGCATACCATACAATCAATCGTTCATAATTACGTGTTATTTTATACATAGAATATATAGAATTTTATATTCTATCATTTTCTAGAGGGTTTGACTTTCTCTTTGTGTTATCTGTTACTTCTGTTTAGAATACTTGTCTACTCTCAAGCAATTGTAGAATTCAGAGGCTTATATATTTCACAATTATATACAGTTTTTTTACTATTGTACTTTGGTTTAGTTCTACATTCTATATAGTTATACGTATCAATATTACTTATAGATCACGATCAGACCTTTCCTACTGCTCAGGAGACATGCTCGTTTATCTACCTTGGGGTATGTGGAACTTCCTCATACTCTGTCACTTTCTTTTGCTGATGTTCACTATCCTTAGTTAATTGTAGACATGTGCAATTCATTTAGTTCCGAATGCTAATTCAGGCGAATTTTGGGCAATTCGGATACTTCAGAATGTCCGAATAGCTGAATTGCCAAAGTTCCGAAGCACAGAATTGCCAAAGTACTAATATACCCAGTGGAAGAATGAAGAATGTCACACTTTATACCAGTTTAAATAAAAAGTATTCAGCTGTAAGCATTTGCAACACTTACAACTGTCAAGTAACACATTCATATAAAATGTAAGTTACTTAGTCAGTCAATGGAATGAGATTACTTAGTATAAGTAAATTCTGCCCCTACTCGCTATACCGCGAGTAGGGGCATGTCTAGTAAACAGTGAGCAGCCTGTTTGACTCATAACAACAATCTTATTGGTTTGTTATAAATAACCAATCAGAGTTATGAGTCAAATTATACAGTGTGGGAAAATTGCAAAGAACTTTCCCACTTTGTGTAAAATATCAGATCACTCTGGTTCAATTTCAAGCTAACCAATCAGAGTGCTGTGACAGGTAAATGTAGAGATTTAACTGTCAGAGCAATCTGATTGGATGGCTTAAACCAACCAACCAGAGTGATCTGAGCCTAATTGCAGGGCGGGGCAAGGCTTTATAAGCCTTCCCCCACCCTGCAGAGCTCAGTCTGCGCAGTGCCCACCATGGGTGAAGATGGATTACTTTTTTTGCGCTCGGGATTTTTTTCCTTTTTTTTTTTCAAAGTGCGACGTTATTATGGATTTTTATTTGTCCTTTTTTGGGACTGAAAAAAGATTTTAGAAAGAAGACATCAAATGGTAAGTTTTTATTTTTATATTTTTATATACAGGTACCTAGTTATTGGTCCCCCCCTCACTATTTTTAGGGTGAGGGGGGTAGGTAGGGGTTCATTAATTTTGTTGGGAGGGGGGTGACTAGGGGTTTGGGGCTGGGGGGGAAGACAATAGGTCCCCGCCCATTATTTTACTTTAGGGCCCTTACGTGCCGCTTATTTTGTGTGTCCCACCCCCCTTCGCCCCCCCTGTTTTTCTGATTTAGGGCCCCCACCCGCCACTCAGGGGTGGGGGTCAGGGAGGCAATAGGTCCTCCCTTCAGTTTAAAAGCCCCCACTCGCGCGGCATGGTTGGGGGCTCGGGAGGGCGGACATGGTTGTTGTTTTTTTTTTTTTTCTTAACAGTGAGCAGCCACAGGCTGCTCACTGTTTAACCCCTTAAGGATGGAGGGCGTACTATTACGCCCTGCAGGAGCCGGCTCTAAACGCCGGCGGGCGTAATAGTACACCCTCACTTTAATGGCCGCCCGTGTGGCCGGCGCTATTCGCCCGCTGCAGATCGCAGTCGGGGGGGAACCCCCCCTGTGGCCGGTGACCGCGATCTTCAGTCACTGATCGCAGTGACAGGCTGTCACTGCGATCAGTATTTAACGTGTGTCAGCCGATTTCAAATCGGCTGACACACGTGGCCAGCGGCTACCCCGTGCAGATCGTGGTCGGGGGACTTACCTGGCCCCCCAGGCAGTCCCCCTGGGGTCAGTGACCGCGATCTGCACTGTCTGAGATCGCAGTGACAGGCTGTCACTGCGATCTCAGAGCGCTCTGATCGCAGTGACAGCCTGTCACTGCGATCAGTGTTACATGTGTCAGCCTATTGGCTGACACATGTAACTGGCACACAGATCCCCCTGCAGATTGGAAGGGGGAGTGCTTGTACCACCCAGGCACTCCCCCCTGTGGCCAATTACCCAATCTGCAGGAGGTGATCACAGTGACAGGCAGTCACTGTGATCACTGATCCTGTGTGTCAGCCAGTGATGTGAAATCACTGGCTGACACTGTCTCTGCCCCCTGTCCTGTAAAAAAAAAAAAATATTAGTTAAAAAATTACAGTTACATATAAAATATACTTAGATCATATATATTATATATATATGATCTAAGTATATATATATATATATATATATATATATATATATACACACACACACATTTACACATACACGAAGTGTATTTAAATATTAATATATATAATTATTTATATATATATTACTATCAAATTACACGTAGACTAATACTGATTAAATATATATATATATATATATAATTATTGTTATATATATATTTATATATAATATAAAAAAATGTAAATACGTAAAAAAAATAAAATTAAAAAATTAAAAATAAATAATAAAAAAATATATAGATGTTTATTTTGTTCTAACTGTATTGTGATATTAATATATATATATTTATATCAAAATACACGTAGAACGAAATAATATATATATCTATATACATAAATATATACATATATATCACTAAATATATACACCTATATATAAATAAAAATATTTTAAAAAATTATATATATATATATGTATATATACACATATGTATATATATACACATATATTAATTCTACACATATATTTATGTAATATTTTTACATAATTAGGTATCCTAATTAATTACAATTAGCGGGACCTGCCTGACAACCCATGCCGAAAGTATAGGGAATTTAATTTGCTAGCACTATATTTAACCCTATAACTTTCCAAGACACCATAAAACCTGTAAATTGGGGGTACTGTTTTACTCGGGAGACTTCGCTGAACACAAATATTAGTGTTTCAAAACAGTAAAATGTATTACAACGATGATATCGCCAGTAAAAGTGAAGTTTTTGCATTTTTCACGCACAAACAGCACTTACACGGATGATATTATTGCTGCAATACTTTTTACTGTTTTGAAACACAAATATTTGTGTTCAGCGAAGTCTCCCGAGTACAACAGTACCCCTCATGTACAGGTTTTATGGTGTTTTCAAAAGTTACAGCGTCAAATATAAGGCTTGTGTTTCATTTTTTTCACATTAAAATTCGCCAGATTGGTTACGTTGCCTTTGAGACCCTATGGTAGCCCAAGAATGAAAATTAC